TTTTCTCTTTAGCTTACATAAATGAAATTTTAAAAAAAGACAAAGTTTTAAGAGAAAAAAAATCATGCTTTCAATTCTCTCTAATGTCCCTCCTTTACAAGCCTGAACTGCAGTAAAGATAAAGTTGATGGCAGTTAGTATAGGTAAAGGACTTATTTGAATTGGATGGAGGTAGAAAAAGAAGAGAAATATTGTATTTGATGAAACCCACTGTTTACAGCTCTGTTAAAGTGTGGGCCTATGTACTGATTTACTTCTGATGAGTAAGAGCAAGTAACATACTCAAAAACATTTAACACAATTTATGCAATATGTGTGCATATATTTATTTATAGCTTCATCTGTACCACCAGAGAAATTATAATGGCTTTGCGAAGACCACAAATCTTTTTCGTACAAGTCAAAGTGTCTATTCCACGTGGCTTAGGAATATGTGTAAGCTTCCACATGGGAAAAAGATTTTCTGATACTCAAATGAAGAATCAAGCTTCAAAGAACCTACTGAAAAGTTTGACAAATATAAAAAAACACCACAAAATTTTGAATTCCAGTTTTAATGTCTACACATTTTATTTTGCAATATACTTTATCATTTTGTAATAGAGCTGTACAGAAGTTTCTGCCAAAGACCACAGGATTTAATATATGATTATACTATAGGTACAATGCATGTATGTATATATCTATATGTATATAAACATTTATTTCAAATTGCTGCCAGTTTACATATCCTACTAGATGCCCCAATGATTGACTATTGCTCTCACAGTGAAACTAAAGAGGTGCCAACTTTCTTGAAGCAAATTCCAAACCCCAGAATAGTGATTATATATTTGATTTATACAGTTTCTTTCTCCCAAAGTGTTCGTTTTAAATTAACTCCACATTGACGTGCGTGATCATGCTAACGCTGACAGCACTAGGTTAGGCTGACTTTGTGTTAACGTCATCAAGAATGATAACAAAAAAAGAAAGAAAGAAAAGGAAACAAAAAGAAGCCTAACACAAGAAACCAACATTGCATTAAAATTCAGGTTATCGCATAATGTTGAACTAGGCTGTTCTTTCCCATAGGCCACGTGACGTGATACTTGAGGTCCATATATTGCCGCAGATCCCCTTTCGTCTGCATGCTGCACTGCATACGTCCCAAACCATGGCCCACAGGCTAGATTTGGCCCATTGCAATGTTTCATTTGGCTTGTACAATGTTTAAAACATTTTTGAGCCAACATCTTGAAATTGGAAGCTTTCACATAAAAATCCAGATTTCTGGCATCTCTCAAAAAATTAGGAGATCTGGGAACACTGGACTCACATTACCACATTGCAGTCTATGGCTGGCTGGGCAGCTGCTGCCCTCTTTAGACAGGCATGTGTTCTCCACGGTCCCACCAATTCCTGCTGCTTCACAACACTGACGGTGCCAGTTCCCACTTACTGCGCTTGCCGTTTCTCTTTTAGTAGAAAACAGTTCTCTCTACTGGTGTCTTTGTCAAAAGTAGGTAGAAACGTGGTAGAGTTAAATCTTTAAAGTAGACTGTTCTTTGTGGATTCTCTTCTCCTTTTCTCTCTCATGCGTTGAGGCCAATTTCTCTTCCCTCTCCCATGAAATTGAAGCAAGGATCTAAGAAACTGCTGACCTGTGGAAGTACTGGAAGTTTCTCAGAGGCATGTTTGCTGGCTTGAGATTTCTCCCAGAGACCAGATAAGATTGGGTTTGAGGAAAGTAGGAACGAAGGGGAGAATGGAGACACAAATAAGAGAGTGGGCCAGTTGGCTTCCAAACCACCGTCTATCATTCGCTTAGTGATGCTGGGACCTGGACTCTGCAAGCCACCTTTTGCTTGCCCTGTTAGGCTCTACCAGCAGAGAGTCCAGAGGGAGACTTGCAAGGCTGGAGGAAGCTGAAGGGACTTGCTCCTTCTTGTGGGTTCCTGCGGGCTTCTTGTTTGCTCGAAGCTCGTGTGAGCGTCACGCCAGCAATACTCCCTCACCTTGGCAGCAGCAATTCCTTCGTGACACGGCAGCTGCACACAGTTTGCAGTTTTTTCTACATTTACCAAACCAGCTTCATTGTGTGACCCCTTCCTCCCACCCGCATTTCCTCTTCAGAGGTCTAAGTCCCAGCTGTGGGGACCTCTCCTCCATGCTTCTAAATTTAAATAGAACTCTATTAAATATTCTACTCTATTTAAATACTCTATTAAAACTCTATTAAATATTTCAATTCTTCTCTAATTGATTTAGATTCAGTGTCATCCCAATAAAAATTCCATCACGTTTTTGTGTGCTTGCATTTTTGTGTATGTAACCTGATAGGATAATTCTAAAATTTATGCGAAGATGAGAAAGACCCAAGATAACCAAGATAATCATGCAGATGAATAAGGCGAGAAGACTGACCTTATGAGATATCAAGATTAGATATCAAAGTTTGAGTAATTCAGACAGCGGATTGTGAAAAATGTTACATTCTGAGCCGAGCTTGAGATGTTCCATTACCTATTTCTGTTTTGTTAGAAAGACCCCCAAAATTTTCAAGTCAAATTTGTTCAGTCTTCATTATTATTACAATGTTGAATCCAGGGGACATGAATATGGAGGAAAATCCTGAACTCACGTAATCCTCTTTGATTTCTACATTTCCTGATCAACAGAGATTATGACAATGAGCTTCTCAACTTCTTTTGGCTTTCTTGAAACGTCTTGGACAATGACGGAGGTGCTGAAACTAGAAACGAGCAAATGCTGTCAAAATAGGCATTAAAATCCTGAAATTAACAAAAAAAGATTTTGAACACTATGGATTGGTGAACTTGATGATCAACTTGAGACAAAGTACTCCAACAAAGTAATTAAAAGATATTTTTGGGGTCCTGTGGAAAAGCACAAGTGCTTGTGACAAGTGATTATGAATTCGTTTAGAACGAGGTTCTTCAAATTTCCCAAATTCATTTTTTTAACAAGGTGTCTAGGTTGATTGATGAGGAAAATGGTACAAGTATATAAGCCTGTTATGCTATAGAGATAATATCTTCTTGAAAAAAAGAGAAATATGGTCAGGATGATAACTTATTTAGGGGAATTTGTGAATCTTTGAGTGCTAGGTTGCACCTATAAAAATAATCAATATCAATATCTTTGACTGTCAGGAGGTCGCTGGCTAGGTGCAGCTGGTGTTTGAGATTATGCCTACTCAGCATTGTCCATGTGCTTAGGAAATACAGAGTTAACATGAACTTCGGAGGGTTAGCTAATATATTGGATAACAGAATTGAGATCTGGAATCAGGTAGAAATAAAGGACCAAGTTTAACAAGATGAAATGTAATAGGGATTAATGTAAATTGTTACGAGTTAAAAACTCAACTGAACAAATATAGAATGGACAATATGTGTCTTAACATTAATTTCTATGAAGAAGACTAGTGTTTTTTGCCAATCATGAGCTCATGACAAGTAAATGATGTAATATGTCTGCTTAAAACCATATTCAATCTTAGGTGTCCTAAGTAGACAGGTAGGCCAGAGTGTCAAGGAAGTGACAAGTATAGAGTAATATTGGTCCACAAGCCAATCTCACCTCATTCATCACACTTCATGTGGACATCACATTTGGAAGGTGATGCTGATAAACTGAAAAGTTTTCATGGAAAGTCACATAGAATAAAGAAGGGATTTGAAACCTAAAAATATTAAGAAAAATTGTACACATTTAGCTTAGAGGAAAGAAAACGTGGTATCATTTTAGGAGTTCTTATCAAATATTAAAGTATTTTTTCCAGTTTTCTAGGAGGAAAAATTAGGAACAATGGGAGGTAGATGTAGGGATGTCTCCTCTACAGATGGAAAAGTTTGCAATCATTAGAAATGTCCAAAAATTAAAGGGTTACCGTAGACGAGACTTTGGTTTCAAAGTGTTTGGGTTTTGAATGGTATGCCTCTAATATTATTTTTCTCCTAAGTCCTGTTGTTATTTTAGTTATTTAGAGCCAAATACTTGAATGAGATTATTTGAAATTTGTCTATACTACCCTACATTTGGCATGCACAGAAGTTGTGGAATCATAAACATAATTTTAAGCACCCTATAATTTCCAGGATTTTTGTATACTTGGCAGGAAATGGCTTGTTTTCACTCAAAGAGCTACCACTCAAAAGGTCAATGTCCCCATTTATTAAAAATTTGAGATATTTTAAGAGTTAATTTAATTTATTTCCATTTTGTGTTTGCCTTTCTCCCCCTCTCGATGTGCACTGGTGTACTGTCAGTAGCCCCAGGGTAAAGAGCTATTACAATCCAAGCCTATCTAGGAAGTTTGGCCTAAGATAATGTCATTTATGGTTAAGAAAGATCATTGTTGTGCTAAGTAATTTTTTGTGGTTGGCAGCCTTAAAGTTTGGGCTTGCTGGCTGCCTTTTGGATATTATATCATAAGTATGGATGAGTTGCAGTACAAACACTGAAAAACCTTCAGTATGCTTTGTCCAAAGAAAAGAACAGCCATCCAAGTTATGAAGAGGTACATCTCAAGTATTCTGACTTCTTGAGTTTTTTGTTTTTTGTCTTTGCTCTCCAGTTATAATTTTTCATGGTGTTGTAACCTGCCAGTGTCAATAAATTTGTGTTTTCTGGTAGGATACTTGAGTTGAGATTTTTCTCCTCCGACATGAAGTCAGAGCATTGAGTTACAAACCTATGCATCGGATCTTTGTAGTAGAGAAAGCTGATTCCTCCCGGAAGTCATCCCTGGCATAATTTAGATACGACAGGACTAATGCCTTTTTGGATAAACAGTTAATTTCCTATTATTCAGGAGCTGATCTTGCAAGTTGTATATCATTCAGATTTTTAGCCTTTCCTTTTTTGAGATTTTGCTGTCAACTCTTGACTGTCTCTATATCTTTATATTTAGACTACCTAAGCAGGAATAAGACATTGATCATTTAAATTTGAAAATTTCAGCAAATGAAAAGTTTATGCAATATGCAAACATATGCAAAAATATGCTGGGGTATGAAAGCAATTTATTGAGCATCAGGAAATGTCATCAGCAAAAAATGTTAATTGATCCAAGCCACTTAAAATGAATCTTGATAAAAGCTAATACTTGCTGTGCACTTACCATGAGCCAGGCATTTCATGTCGCTAATACTTGCAGTAGACAGAATATGTTTTCTTGTTTTTCAGCTGGAGAAGTTAAGACTCTGAAAGGTATATAATTTGCTGGAGATCACACACTGGTCAAATAGGAGAGCTAGGATTTGAACCTAAGTTTTTCTTACACTGAAGTCCTTGTATCATATTTCCTCTGGACAAGCTTTGTATTTTAAAGAATTAGCAGTGATGTGGACTGTCTGTCTGTCTCCTCTTGTTGAATGGTTAGCATGTCTTTGGTTGTGTGAAGGATAGTCACATTAGTGGAAGCATGATGTCATCATTTTTATTTGGAAGTTAAAGATGGTAATAGTAATGGGATGGATGCTGAATTAATGAATTAACAAGGGTATTGTAAGGACTGCGCTGGCTGGGTTGTTTTCAGCTTGGTACCATCGCCAACAGGCCCTTCTAAGGCAGAGAACCACATTTCCATGAATCCCCCTCTTTGTGTGGTTCTGGGTTAAAATTTGTGAATGAGAGGAACTTGAGTGAGATTTGGAGGGTGGAAGTGAAATGGAAGCGGTTATCCTGGGAAGGTCCTGATGGTTAGATGCGGCTGGCTTCTAGACCTCTCCACAAGCTTCCACTTAGTGGTTCTGGCACTTTCTTGGACTTCCCCAGATTATGATTTCTCTAGGTTGTGGCAGAGGAAGTGGTTTCTAGACCTCTCTGCAAGGTCCCACTTCATGGTTGTGGCAGTTTCCTGAACTTCCCAGGCATAAATGGCTTTTTCTCCCTCACCAGTTGAGAGATTGTCCGGCCACCATCTTCTAAAACCTTCAGTGCTGCATCCTCTCATATTTATGTAGCCTTAATTTCTATTTCCATCCATTTTCTCCATAATGTTGATATTGACTTTGTTTTCCTGATCAAGTCCAGACTGGTATATAAATGTGACTTATCATACATTTAAATAGACTGTAATCATGTGCTAATTTTCCATTTTGGTTTAGGAGTGAGCAGTAAGATAGGAAAAATATCAATGCAAAACTGGAAGCAATGAAAGGCTTAGAAGGATCAAAAGTTGAAAAAAGTCCTACTAATTGTACTTATTCCTTCTATAATAGCACATATTTCACAGCATGGATATAGTACTCAATTTTATTTTGTTCAGGAAACATTGACTGAGTAGCCACTATGTAAAGCTGTGAGCTGGATGTGCTGGGAAATTCACACAGAGCAGATACTTATTGAGAGCTTACTATGTTTCAGATGTTTAGATCTTCAGTTTACACCACAAGTCCATCAGGTAGATATTATTATCCTTATCTTACAGATGTGAAATTCAGGCCTAGCGAGAATGAGTAACCTGGCAGAGGTCACAGAATGGTTTAAATACTTAAGCTACTGTTTTGATCTGTCTGAATTATCTTAAGGGACTATCATATGTTGTTGGTATGTTAGGCTGTGGAAGTTCTAGTCATAACATGGTTAGATTATATTTGGTACATAATTTGTCCTTAGTTGGCCTCTGTATTCTCAAATGTATTAGAAGTATGCCACCCAAAGTTGTGAGGAAAGAATAAAGTAAATACACAATGCTATTTTTAAGAGTTTAAGTAAGTTACACTTGAGAGCTTTTGGCTGTGTATTACAGAAAAGCTCCGTTTAAATAGACAAACAAAAAGGACATTTATTTTCTTCCATTTCTGGCAATCCAAAGGGTAAAGTGGGCTCCAGCGATAATGAACAGCAGTTCAATGGAGGTATCGAAAATTCAGGTTCTTTCAGTAGCTCTGCTCTGTCACTCTTGATCTTAAGACCAGTTCTCCTCAGGGGAGCAAGATGGCTCTCTGTGACAACTGGGACTTCGTGTTCCTTGTTCAAGCCTAGCAGGAGAAAGAGAGAGACTAAGCCTTTCTCTCCAGTTTGATTGGGCCAACTTAGATCGCGGGATCATCCTGGGACCAACATCACTTTCCTGGGCAATGACATGCCCACGATTGGTTTAAGCTAATCAGGATTTTGCCAGTGATGAAGATAGGGTGACTGCCTGAATAAAATCAGGGTTCTGATAGGAAAGAAGGAATACTTGTTGTGTAGGTAATCATCAGTATCTATGCTAATTACCTAACATTCATTTTAATAAAATTAGTAAACATATTTTGCATTTTAAGATCTTAGGGAACCAAAACTATCATGTGAATAATTCTTGAAATAATAAAAAGCTTTACCTTAATAGGAAAAAATGTAGTGAAGCAACCTCAGAATCACAGTTATTCAAATCAAATTCAAAGATCCTAAATCACAGAAATGTGGTAATTTAATTTTCTACCCCAAGCTAAAGAAAAATTTATGAGACAGGCATAATGTGGTATGCTGTGGGCTGTTGGAATCTGAACAAGTTGTCTTACTTGATTTTCACATTTTAACATGTTTTTCTCCTCGTTCCCACCTACTCCTTTTCTTTAAATTCCTATTAGATTTTTCTTTTTTGCAAAATAATGGCACATTAGTAAATGGCAGACCTCATTTCCTATTTCTCTGTAATGACATTAGCAGAGATCCTTTGGGATGATTGACGTTAAAAAAACGTCCAGAGAAAATGATGTGTTTGAAAGAGCATGGTCTGATCTTCATGATAATGCTCTGTGTAAGATATTATATCAATTTGGTAATTTTACAGTGCAGACAAAAGTGAAATCTATTATTTTGATAAGTATTCATTTTGATTTGGCTCAGATTGCAACTTGCAGTTAAAAATTCATAGGTGATCATCCATTCAAGTGACAATGGTTATAAGTTAAATAACACTACTTATATCAATTGTATGCATAAGACGTGTGACACTTTCTATTTTGTTCAAAGTACCCTATTTTTAGCAAACTACACTTTCATCTATCTCCCTAGAAGCCTTAATTCAGTTCAACATAAGCAGAATACTTTTTATAGTTTTTCTTCTAAATCACTCTTCTGGTAGATTCCTATTATAGCTAAGTTCAAAAGTACAGTCATTTATTAAATTGCTATATTCCTTATTCATAATTTGCATGAAATCAAGGTAGGGGTCGGGAAAGAAATACCTCTAACTGTGAAGTAGATCCTTATTAAATTTTGAAAGTACTGGTATTTGACAGTTGGCAAAGCTTTTATTGGAGCAGAAAACTATGCACTTTGGCACAATTTATGTTTACTTTCAGAACGGAATGTAGTACCAACTATACTCCTGAATAGAATTTACTCAATCTGTAGAAATAATAATTACACAACTTGAACTATGGTCTACCCTCTTCTTGACAGTATTTTTGACACTTGTAACTTCCTTCTTCTCTCAGCGAATCACTTCTGACATAATACTCTCTTCTGATTTCCTTCCTACTACTCTGCACCCCTCTTTATACCCTTCACTGGCTCTTATTTGCTCTCTCACACCTCAAATGAATTCATTCCCTAAGGTCCTCTTCTACTTATTGACCCTGCCCTCCTCTCCTCAACCTTCTGTTTCCTCCATGCCTATAATAATTTGTAAGATCAAGGTTGAACTGAATGATCTCGAAAGTCACTTCTCCCTCTAAAGTTCTGTGCTTCTTAGACTCATCAACTCAACTCAATCATTCATTCAACAAGTACTGAATACCTTCTCTGTGCAATGTACCATGTCAGATGCTAGAGATACAATCAATGGTGGGCCCCGCCCTCAGGGAGCTTACAAACTAATGGCAGGGACAGACATTTATAAATGACCACATAGCTCTATTCCTGGAATGAAATAGCTATCTCTATGGAACCAAAACACTCCACATTTTTCATGCTTTTTGCCACAGAACCACCTCTGACACAATTAGGTCTAACTTTCAGGATCTTCTTATTGGAAATTGAGTCAAATGCTTTATTTCAAAAAAGTCTTTACATATGGAAAGTTTGCTTGAGCATTTTGGTAGTATCAAAAGATGAAATGGATTATTTTTTACGCTGTTATCATAATCTTTCAAGTTCCCAACCCCTTGCCCCTGCCTTTAATGGGTAGGTGTGGAGGAGATACAGAGAAGAGGAAGTATAAAACACCATTAAGGCGTCTTCATCCCTGCTGATAAATTCAGCCTTGAATAGTGATTTGCATTCTAATTTCATTATTAAGCTCTCAGTCTCTTGTGGAGTAAATATTCATGCATATTCCAGAATCACTGTACTCTGTTACTGTCTTCTGTGTAGCTTCAAGGAACCTGATAGAGAAGAAGGGAAGGCCTGTCTTTCTTCTCAATCACTCTCTTGTTCTTGCCCTGCATGTCTGTGTATGTTCCGGGCAATGCCCAGGGCATCCCATGCCTGAGTGGAAAGAATTGATGGAGAGCCTTTTGTATGGGTCTTTGCCATCAGCATGGTGTATGTGAGCATGTGGTTGTGGTATCTATTCACTCCACGTGGAAGCTGTGCAGTGTGGGCTTCTATAGCCCCCAACTCTCACCCCTGAGATGTTTTTATAGGCAATGAACAGTGCTAGCCTCTGTTCCCTCTGCTGTAATGCCAAGGCATGGTGAACCACAGGGAGCTGGAGTTGGGTGGGGTTTGTGGCTGAGCTCTCAGAGTCACCCCAATGCTACCTTCTGTACCATCTTCTGGGCCTACCTTAGCCCATCCCCAGAATCTTAAGTACCTTTTTAATTCCCTTCCAATACCCTTGGTGGGAAAATAAAAACAAGATCTGCACCATATTTCAGAGACACCCTCTACGGAAGATTGTACTTTCCAAAGATGGCTGTTATAGTATCTCGCACCCTCGTGTTTTTCTTCAATATGACCTTACCCTCATCAAGAAGAGAAGCCTATTTCCCTTTTTCTTGGATCTAGGCTGGCCTAAGTGACTTACTTGACCAAAAGAATGAATTAGAAGGAGTGTTCTATGACTTCTGAGGCTAGTTTATGAGAAGTCTTGCAGCTCCTGCCTGGAATGCTTGCTCTTGGACCAGTCCTTCTCAGACTTCCCACACCCTAACCAATTCTGTGAGAAGCCCAAGTCACATGGAGAGGCTACATGCAGGTGCTCTCGTTGATAGCCCTGGATGTGCCCCAAGCTGACACTCAGCGTCAATTCTTAACCATATGAGGGAGTCATTTTCTACACTTGGCCCATGAACCTTCAGAGATCTCCAGATCCAGCTGCTACTTGACTGGTACTACATGAGAAATACCAAGACTGACCATCCACCTGAACTCACTCAACTGATAGAACTATGGAGATAACATGGTTATGTTAAGCCACTAAGTTTTGGGGTCGATTGTTCCACAGGAATAGATAACTGGAACACCCTCACAACCTTATGGGAGAGTCTATTGGGTCAAGATTTGGAGGAGGAAGGACAAGTTCAATGTTCCCCTTCCTCTCTGATTTCCCCCCAAACCCAAGGAGGAGTTAAGAAAGAGGCAACTGCCTCCTCATATCTTCCTCTCTCTCTCCCTAGTTATCTATGAAGAAAGGGATAGGGCATGGTGTCCTTCAGGATATGCTTGAACGCATCAACCAGCTTACTGTTTATGGGGTATCTATCAGGACATCAGGCTTTCCGTGGGGCAAGATGTGGAGTGGGGGAACACTTAACACTTTCTCTTCGTAGTCATCCTTAGGTTACCCATATTATAATGATACAGACAGACAGCAAACTTCCATAAGTACATGCTGAAGGTTCTTTCTTGAGATAAAGGTATTTTATCAAGAGACCCAATCATCCTTTAGTTTAGTGATTCTCAACTTTACTGTGAATTAGAATCACCTGGGAAATTTGTTTAAAACTTCTGAATCTCAGCTCTATCTTTCAGAAAGTCTGAATTTGTGGGTCTATGGTGGGAACCAGGAATTTGCATTGTGAAAAAGTAGCCCAGGTGACTTTATGCAGAAATTCAAGGGGTCACACCATTCAAAACACTTTTTGACCCTTTCTTCTTTGAAATTTGTGTCATTTTTTCTGAATCCCTAAACATTTTTAACTGTCTCTGAAACTTTTTAGTTATTCTTAGCTTGTGTTAGGCAGCCTTTAACTGAAGAGGATCTTGGACAAAAATTGACAGTGAGATCAATGAAAGAATTCAAATATATTTAGAGAAGAAGGCATTCACTAGAAATCAGAGACTGGGACCAGCGCCATGGCCGAGTGGTTAAGTTCACTCGCTCCGCTTCAGCGGCCCAGGGTTTCACTGGTTCGGATCCTGGGTTCAGACATGGCACCGTTCATCAAGCCATGCTGAGGCGGCATCCCACATACTACAACCAGAGGCACTCACAACTACAATATACAACTGTGTACTGGGGGTTTTTGGGGAGAAGAAGAAGAAAAAAGAAGATTGGCAACAGATGTTAGCTCAGGTGCCAATCTTTAAGAAGAGAAAAGAAATCAGAGACTGACTGAAGATAAGCTGGATTCATAGAATATCAAGAGAAGTCTTATCTGAGACCCTCCCTAAACTAATTTCCCAATGTAGACTTGTGAGTGCACGTAGTCAGTAGAAGGTCAGTGCAGCATGGAATATTAGAAAAGGAATCTGGCTGGAAAGTTTGCCCTATCTCCAGCACTCCCAAGGGGAGAACAAGTAGATTACCCGCCTGGTCTTGTAGACTCACTCCTCAGGCTTCCAGACTAGGAGGAGAAGGCTCTGTAGCATCCTTGATGAGGGCACTCCCACCCAAGGGTATGCACATTCAGTTTCATTCCTTTAATTCACCAAAAGGCCTTCAGATTTGTGGTTTGGCTCTCTGAGGCCAAGTCTCCGGGGCCCATAGCTGTGACCTCAGTCTGGAGAGGCTTTGGAGCTCAAATGCCAATCTCTCACCACATTAGTAAAATTGTGGAGCGAGGCAATGTTTGTACCTTTCTAAGGAAGTAAAAAATTAGATTTC